TTCAATTCATTCGTATTAATTTTTAATGAAGTAATAAAGAACTTTTCAAATTTTTCTATCAATATTAAGTATATGTCTTTATAAGGTATGAAGAGAGTTACATACATCCACAAAATAATATAAACTTATAAAGATTTACAAGAAATAGTTATGGATACTTGAAAGTTTTATTTCCCTGTGTCTGAGGCAATTCAGACAGACAAATACGTAGAATAAATATAAATGACTCTCTTAGGCTTAACCTTTATTCAAAAAATCTTTGCTCTCAGAATTACCCTGCGTTTTATTATAACCATGAAGTACCATTTCCATTTTTAACAGAGTCTATATATCTAGGTAGTATAAACCTGGGTTAAGAATTCTTTATAAGAAATATTTAAAAAATAAGATTTCCTTGTAGTTTTAATATTTTTATATACGCAAGAGAGACTCATGTTTGTAATGTTTTAAGAGGACATGGTACGATTTACACAAAAAAATTTTTAATTTAATGATTTTCATGATTTTTTTTGGTTGCCTCCTATGTGTACGTATGATGCTCAAAATTTCATAAAAAGCTAACCGTTTAATTTTTTAAAGGAAAAGCTTGAAACTTGTGGAGCGATTTTAAAATGCTACTCCCACAAAAATTGACATAAATATATGAAATTTGATTTGAAAGTGCGTTAAACAATGTGTAACATAAGTTGGTATGGGTTTTGTGATAACATGATTAGTATTCGTACAATACTTCTTTTTATGAATGCTTAGGGAAAATTCCTTAAGAAATGTGCAAATTCTAACTTAAATTATTTTTTAAAAAATAAGTATTGTTTCGAATGAAAAATGCATACCAACTTTTGTTTCATGTACTATTAGCAACAAGTGAAAAAAAACTTTCAAGTATTTAGCACAATAAAAAATGCCCTAGCATTTTAAATGAAGACAAAAACTAGGTATTTTATAAGGTAACTAAGTAATTTATCTTTCCGAGATAAATCAGTTTAAAGTTTTGATATTTGCTGGAATGTGTGAATAAACACAAACGTAACAGTTATCATAACTCTGCGTTTTTTAAACTTAGAGCTTTCAAATTTTGTGAGTGTGAAGAAAAATATATAAAAAACTAATTTAGATTAACAAAAATTAGATTTGATTTTTTGACCGATTTATGTCAGCAGAGTCGTACTCTGTCCCCTTAAAATTCTTTGTAAAGTTTCTTTACCTATCCTTCAAAAAGTTTCACCCAGAAGTCTATGAAGACCTGCAAGGGGTCAACGTTAGAAAAAAAAATGTGGGGGCCCATGAGATGTTACGAGGGGTCAACGATAGTGGCTCTCATTAAACCAGATCATAACTATATATTTAAAAGAAAATTTAATCAAATGAAAACCAGATTTTACCTATTTACTAAATTTAATGAGATTAATTTGCAGTTACAAGGTGACAGCATAAATTATTTTTAAACAAGAACCATCAATTCGGCGTTTTTTGCCAGAATTAAGCTAATAGAGTATAATATTAGACGTCGAATTTTCCCGTTTCTCAACTGGCCATAGACATTCTGCCAGGAAAATGACGTTATAACCTACGTTCGGCATTTAAATGCCCCATATTCAGATTTTGTCACTAGGTTTGAAAATGCGTTGTCTATAGTAATTACCATAGTAGGCAATGGATTCATATGGTCACATTGAAAAAAAAAACACATGTCATATTACAAGAGGAATTGAACAGGAAAAGCAGTAGAGAAGTTCTTAAAGTAAAATTTAGAAACGAATGTCAGCAGTTTTAGCTTTAAAAAAACACATACCTGTTACTTATCCCGAATTATGGAGTAACTTTTCAATTACTTTTCCTAATGAGAAGGAGTTTAAGCGTTGTTGCCAATTTCCAAAATAAAAAAAGAAGAAAAAGACTGGACTCTACTAACCGAGAAGATTTAGGGTTGAATCTGGCAAGATTGTTTCCAAATGTTAAAAATTTGTTATTGAAGAGAACCAGATTCATCTCTTCTATTATAAACATTTGTTTGTTGGTCAATTTTATGTATTAATTAAATTTTAATTTAATTGTGGCATGTGTTTCTTATCTTTTAAACACTATACTCCATTAGAGTTAGAAATTTAAATTTTTAAAAATAAGTTGTTCTATACCAGCTGTCGAAAAGGCATTTAATTTGATAAATTTTGGAAAATTCAATATTAGGTAAGCAGGATTCTACCCCAAACCGAAAAAACATGGGAAGAGGTCCATGAGAAGAAAAATTAGGGAACCTCTGTTCTACATGGTTCTAGATACGCGTGCCACAGTGCTGCACTGAGGATCTCTAACAGTGGCCCCCAAAGACTTAATAAAAAGATTTTAAATTTGAAGAAAAAATAATAAATAACATTTTTTTTCTTTAAAATTTTATTAAAATGCGGTTGTCTCAGACAAAAGAAAAACCCTCAAAATTTATTTTAAATACTCTTAAATGAGTTACAATAGAAATTTATCGTATAGAGCAGAAGTCGCCCAAGTGGTGGTCCGAGAGAAAATTTCGTTAGTCCCCAGAAAAATGTGGAATATACTTACTTATCACCTTAAATTATGTTTTAACCCTCTGGCCACAACATCAATTTTTTTGCCCTACTGAGAATCATCCGTCTAATGGATACGAAATTTTTTTTTGAGTTTTACTACCTTAAGTACTGTTTTAAATATCTTTATCGCTCATGAAATTAAGAATGGTTCAAATAAAATGTGTGGGGTTAAATCAAGCACAACAATATATTTTTATCACTAGAATTATGACTAGTATTTTTATAAAAACTGATTAAAAATTATTTATATTCATATAAAAATAACTAAAAATAATAACACCAAACACGAAAAAACTACAGGAATATCCCTGTGATAGACCGTGATAGATAAGAAAAATCCCACATATCGTGAGTTGAAAAAAATCGTCATGTACCACCACGTGATCCTCTGACTGGGTAGAGTGCAAATGAAGATGTCTAGGCAACCCACCCCCAAAATCACGGCACAGCGTTATCTACAGGCATCAGAGCAAATCATCCCCGTCTGAGAGACGGATGCTCCGGTCAGAGGGTGTAGATACATTGATTATGTGTGTTCTTAGATCACAAATATATATTTTTTATAAATATATTTAACAATCACAAAATTCTATTGAAAGTTTGAGAAGCACTGCTTTAGTGTAAGATTATTTATTAATTTAAGTCAAGTTAAACAAAGACAACTCATATCATTAACAGAAAAAAGCTCCTCTGCTATTTGGGACACTCAGTTAAAGATATTATGAAAAGAGCGCTTACTGGAGTACTTTCACGGAAAAATTCGAAAATACGATAAATAACATTAAATAATTATTTATTCTAATAGAAATTTTAATTAGATGTTAAGAGAAATTACTTTTGAAACTTGATGTTCTCTTGAATTTCTATTAAAATAAGTTTTGTAATTTCTATAAACACCATTGCGTTAACTTTAAACACTGTTTTACGGTAAACAAGTAAAAAAAAAAAAAAAATTTATTGTCAATTCTTACTTTGTTAGAAAAACGTGCTGGCGCCATCTGTTGCAGCTAGTTGTAACTACGACAGAAATAAAGCAGAATTAATTTAAAATTAAAAAATAAAATTTAATGAATTAATATTTGAAAAACTGTATTAACATCAAGTGTCATCCACTGCAAGTTTTAAAAAATTTATTTGAACTTGAATGGATGAATAGCAAAAGTATTTTATTAGCGATTGAAATTTGAACAACATATATATAGAGGGAAAGAGTGAACTAATAGTAGGACTTGAAAAAGGCTCGAACAAAGACTAATCTCATTAAAAATATTAAATGTTAACTTTAAAGATATAAAATAATCATATATCTTGAATGATAGGACGGATGTCTCAATTTTTTAATTTATTCTCGATCCTTATTTTATATTTGTAACTGCTTTCCTTTGTTTGAATATTTACATAAGTAATAGATTATGTAATAAATTGTTTAATATCACAAAGATTCATTCATGTTCAACGTAAAACATTCATGAGAATAAGATGTGTTTAAAACAGTTTTGATGGTTTAAAGCTATTTTAAGTAGCCCCCAGAAGCTTAAAAATGCTTTAAGTAGTTTTTCAGTAAAAAATACACATCTTTACTACTCCTGTTTATATGTAAACCGCATAAAATTTATATATATGTAAAATGAAAATGAAATTAAATGTAATACAGACAGATAAATGAAAAGGAAATGCATTTAAGGCAATGCATTGCAATAAAATGTCTGCTGCCTCTGTAGTAGGCCATTTAATTTTATACCATAAATATAAATGACTATTTCATATGATATTTTTATTTAAAAGATCATATTTTGGCTACTTCAATCTTTATCTAGCTTGCAATTGTATGAAATCCCTTTAATATTTAATGATTTGCTACATTTATGTAAGGAAAACGTTATTTGTTTTATATTACGAATTTAGATAAGGGATTTTAAACTGAATTTATATTTTTATATTTAAAACGTTGCATTTTCCTGATAGGGTAATAGTTAATAATAACATGTTGCTTTAAATTGAAATTTTGCCTCTTAAGTATAAGTATAGTATTTTTCTGATGTTAAGCCTTTTTATTATAGTGAGAATGAAATTGATTTTAAAAACTTCTCAAGCAATCAAAGCAATAATAAAGATAGAACTTTCAGTTAAACTTCGTCTCAACACATTTTTCGCAAGACTTACTATTATTAAATTCCTACTATTTGTTCACTCTCTCCGTATATTTATTTATTTATTTATTAATATATCTTGTTAAAACTTTCAATCGTTAATAAAATACTTTTTCTTCATCCACTCAAGTTCAAATACATTTTTTTAAACCTGTAGTGGATGATACTTGATATTAATACAATGTTTTCAAATATTATTTCATTAATTAAATTAAAAAATGAATAAATAGTATCAAAGAAAAATAAAAGTCCAACAGCATATACAGGAAGGAAAATAGTTCGCGGTGTCACTTTAGCGCAATGGATACGTCGTTGAACTTCTACTTCAAAGGTCGTGGGTTCGAATCCAACCAGGAATGACATAATTTCTGAGAATTTGATTTCTTTTTTACTATACATTTTTATTAGAATAATTAAATTTAATTAATGAATAAACAGTAATAATTGAGAGAGAAAAAAATAGTTCAACTCCATGTATAGAAAGGAAAAAGGAAAATTGCACGTAAAATCGCTTTCTACTTTGTCACTTAATATTGTGATTCTGTCATGTGTATATAAATATTTATATTAATTGTTAATATTTAATAAAAAGTAACTAAAAAATAAAAAATTTTCTTCGTTGACCTAAGTAGGAATTGCCTTAATTTTTTTTATATTACTTGTTTCTTTGAAAGTGCTAAGTGTTTGCGATGTATAACACGAAAACGTTATGTACTTAATACATAACCCCAAACATTTAAAAAAGAATTCGTGCAAACTGGAAAAAATAAACTAGGTTTTGATATGCTGGATCACATGAAACCTACATATGAAGCTATTCGATTACTTCATGGACTAGAGCAGGGTTGTCCAACCTAAATGACCTTGCGGGCCACTTCGGAAAAATATTATAATCTCACGGGCCGCACATAAAAACTCGTATCTTTATATCAGATTTGGAAACAAAAAAAAACATTTATTGGAGTGAAAATTTAAAACAGAATGAATTATTATTATTGTTTTCATTATTTTTCATGTATACAGACATAGATAATATAATAATGTTTATATAATATAATAATGCAATGATCAAATAAGGTTTGAAATATTACAGTTGACATTTTCTTGAAAATTGCGGTTTTCCTACTGAATTCATCTTTCGTTACTCGTTGTTGAAATTTAATAGTGCTGTCATTCGCAAACGATTAAGTATAAATTGTCCTTTATCTTAACCGTCCTGAATATTTTTTTTTAAAAAACATCTCTGACTGCCTCTTGCTTTTTGGGCACTCCAAACAGAAAAGGAGGAGGAGAAACGAAAGTCGCACACACAGAGAATCATGTACCATCCATAGTAAAGGACATGCATAATGCAATTCAAAATTTATTAAAAAAAGTAATATACTACAGTAAAACCAAATGTAACTGTTTGATAAAATATAAATCTATTTTAATTTAAAGGACATTTCTATTATCAAAAAGGATTTATTTTAAAACAAGAACAGGTAACAGGCAAATACATTGTATATAAATATATAAAAATTTCCTCTCAAATAAATTTCAAAATGAAAAAACTTTAAAAAATTTTTAAAAAGAGTCGGTCGGCCGCAACTTACGTACTGGCGGGCCACATGCGGCCCGCGGGCCGAGTGATGGACACCCTAGACTAGAGGATTGTCCTACTGCATACACAGAAGTCCTCATGTTTCAAGAAGTAATGTCCCTGTTAATAGTCACATATAAAATTTTTATTTAACATTGAAGGGAAATAGCTTCTAAATTTCATGTGCATATCCTATTTTTCTTTTTCAGCTTTTTTCCGCCTCTCAATTCCAAAATAAATGTGTTCAACCTACACTGTGTCATATTATTATCATCTCAAATATCGTCACTCAGTTTTCTTTCAAAATGAACTTGGGCACTAACATCGTTTCTCAGTCAAACTCTATAATTTTACCAAAACTATCGACGCAATTGTAAACTCCTGTTTTCAACACAAAACGAGCAAGTAACTGACACTTTCGTTAGAATAAGAACCTATCTGAATTTTTCTCAAACTATTTTGTCGATTCAATTTTTCTATTTCAAGGAGCTTTTAACCTACATCAATAGGATAAATATGGAGATAGTTTTTAAAAAAAATTACGTCAAAATTGGTTTCAAACGATCCATTGGTAAATCCACAAACCTAAATTTAGAAAAATAAATTCTTCATCAAAAAAGTTTAAAGTATAGTGTATATAACGTTTTCCCGCTACACAGGTTCAAAATCAGCTTCTTTATGCAGAAAGCATTACATTATTCATATCTACACGTACACCCATAAGATATTTCTGGGTCTTTTCATCTGATATCACCACGATAACCGATGGCTATGAGAAAAACACCACCCCACCTGCGAGCTGGACCCCGTTTGTAATTTGAGGTGTAAGCAGTGACTGCCCTCACCCCAAGCAAAAGGAGAGAGTCCGCTTTGAAAGACTGAAAAAAACCTCCTTTACTAATAACACATTGTGTAGAATGGACACAGTCAAATATTTGAATAGCTTGAAACCGACTTTACATACCGTAATTAATAGCTGTGGTCGAAGCAAATGAGTTATCTAATTTTTTAATTTCCGCAATACCCAACAATTTTCCCAAACGTCATAATAGTATTTGAGATCATCTTTGATTATCTTCAAAATGAATTAAATTTTAGAGGAAAAAAAAGAATTATTGCCATCTGTTATAATTTTAACTACATATTCTTACAATTTAATATAATTGTTACTTCATTTCGCAAAAATATCAATTCTGTTTCAAAAGTTACATTGATAAATTATATAGCTCTTATTCCAAGAAATCAATAAGTATTTTATTAAAAATATCAACTAATATTCTTCAGCTGTTTTTCACTAAATACCTTTTTCGTTTTATAAGGTGTATCTTTTAAATAACTAATTAATGAATTTCTTAAGCCTAGCTTTTCAAAATCTATTTTTCAATTCCTACTATTAATTCACAATCTTCCTATCTCTTGTTCAAATTTTCAATCGTTAATAAAATACATTTTAAAGCGCTCAATTGAGCTGAAATTTTATATACACGATTATTTTGGATGACAATATGGTAGTTTAATTATAATTAATTAAAATTAATTGATTAAAATTCATATTCAAGGAACTACAGATACAGCCACGTTGATATGTTTTTTGGCGACTTGTATCAAAACTTTAAAATGTTTTTTCTCACATTTTAAAACGCTCATTTGAGCTGAAATTGACTATACACGACTGTTTTAGGTGACAATACGATAATTTAATTATAATTAATTAAAGTAAATTGATTGAAACTAATTATTTAAAGATTTACAGATACAGTCACGTTGGCTTCACTTTTAGCGACTTGGGTCAAAACTTTAAAACATTTTTTTTTCTAACGTTTTAAAGCATTTAGTTGAACTGAAATTTTATATTCACGATTGTTTTGAATGACAATACGTTACTTTAATGACAATTAATAAAAATTAGTTACCACTTAATATTTGGATTCTGTCATATGTCTATGCATATTTATACTAATTGTAATTATTTGATAAAAAGTAACTAAAATAAAAATTTTCTTTGTTGACCTAAGTAGGAATTGCCTTTAAAAAATTTTTTTATATTACTTGTTCAAAACTTTGTTTATTATGTATTGATTCAATAAGTTCATTATTACCAATAAATTCCATTATTTGATTCAATAAGTTTATTGTTACTAATATAAATTCCAGATGTAAATAGGCATATATATCAATCTTACTTCTAGGAATTGTAGAATAAATTTAAAACTCTACATTTACAATTTACCGTTATTTTAAACCGAAGAAATGGCACTCCGTTATTTCTTTCTGAATTTAACTACTAGTCAATATTTCACTGCATTTTTCAACACATCAGAAACATCATTAATTAATTTTATTCATATTTAATGTTTATTAATTAATCATTCTATATCCTCAAAGTATAGCAGGGAATTCAACATTTTTATAATTAACTACTCTCTTAAAGAATGGTGTTTGTCAGAATGTAATCTCAGAAATATTCATATAAAAAATCGCGAATAAAATATTCAAACCTGCAGCTTAATTCATCAATTTGATTCTTTCCTTGACCTTAAATTATCAATATAAGAATTAAGAATTCTCTAAGTCATGACTGATAGAAAAGTCTTCAAAATGCAAGTCGTATGAATTAATTTTTATTCCGAATATAAATAAGTATCTTAATTTTATTAATCTATTTTAATTCGTTTTGGAATATGTTTTAATTAAGAATTCAAATTTGAAGTTACAAAACATTGTTAATCTGAAATTTGAACTTGTTTTCTCAATAAATATATTATACTGTCGGAATTAAAATAAATAAACAGATATTTAAGGAAAAGTATCAATATGAAAATATTAACATCTAATACAGAAATAAATAAATACTAATTTCAAAATGCATTAAAATTTCAAAATTCTCGTGAGTGTCCCATAAATAATTAAAAGATAATTATGGTTTGAAGAATTTCCCACAGGCATGTTAGAACACATAACAATCAATACAAAAAAAATTAAGGCAATTTCTACTTAGGTCAACATAGACAAAATATGTTTTAGTTACTTTTTATCAAATAATTACAAGTAATATAAATATGTATATACATATGCCAGAATCACAATATTAAGTGGCAAAATGGGAAGTGTGATTTTCCTTGCTACATATGATGTTAGACTATTACTTTTGTTTGTTACTATTTATTAATTCCTAAGTCACAGGCCATCCCAGGTAAGATTCGAACCCACGACCTTTGGATTAGAAGTCCAACGTGCTTTCCATTGCGCTACAGGGAAACAACGAGCGATTTTCCTTTTTATATAGGAAGTTGGACTATTATTTTTGTTTGCTACTATTTATTCGTTTTTTAATTTAATCAATGAATAAATATTTGAAAAAATGTATTAACATCAAGTGTCATCCACTACAAGTTTTAAAAAATGTATTTGAACGTGAGTAGATGAATAAAAAGTATTTTATTAACAATTAAAAATTTGAACAACATATATAGAGAGAGAAAGTGTAAACTAATAGTAGGAATTGTGAGAAAATTGCAATCATAAAATTAAAATTATGAGTTAAAATAATAAATTTTGCATTATTTTTAAAAGATATATTCGCATAACTACTATCTTGAAACAAATATGAGGCGTGTGTGGAAACTAAGTACCGCTTTGTTCTACCACAACCACCGTTGTAGTATCAAAGTTCAGCTCTTGCGCATACGTGTCTCTGGTTGTGATTGCCTGTTCTATATAGTGATGCTATCACAGTAAGATTGTGATGTTTTAACACGTGTTAGTGAGCGTGTAAGATGA